TGGGATGAGGTATTGTATGCAGACATGTTCTTTGAATTAAGAGACCACCCTGAGTGGCAGGAGTGTGGTATAAATATTCCCCCGCGGGATCCTCTGGTATTGGCATTAGAGAAGGAGCAGAGAAATAATGAAAGGGAACATGGAGAGTTGATGAGGTGCTGTTTGGCTTGTAGTACTGGACAGAGGTGTCTAAAGGTGAAAGAGCCTAAGAGAAAGGAGGAGACAGATGAGGATTCTTTATTAGACAGACCTGTGTGTCAGCCCAGACCCCCTTCACCCCCTACCTAGGGGTAGGTTGCTTCCTACCCCTAGATCAGGAGCATCTTCCCTGGAGTCGGGAGATGATGAAGAAAGTGACACAGGGAAAGGGACTAGTATGTCTTCTCCAGTCACTTCACGAACTAGGAGCAAATCTAAGGAGGCAGCTAAAGTGCTAGCTCCACTGCAGGAAGTAATAGGACCGGACAGACTGGTTAAAGTTAGAGTACCCTTCCCATATAGTAATCTGAAAACTTGGAGGGAAGTGGTAAAAGGCTATCAAGATGATCTGGCCAAAGTAGCAAGGTGGTTTGAACTAATGACATGGAATTTGGATGTTCATTGGGGAGACATAGATCTAATGCTGAGTGAAATGACAGAAACAGAAAAAGGTTTGGTGATTAGAACTGCTCGTAATCAAGTGGAGGCACAGATAGCAGGAAATGCTATACAGGGGACCGTGAACGATCATGTCCCATTGCAGGATCCGAGGTGGGATCCTAATGATGCAGGTCAATATCAGCTATTGAAACAGTATCGGAAGTGGATTAAATATGGAATAGGGAATGCAGTACTGAAAGTGGTGAATTGGTCAGCACTCTATGCGGTAAAACAGGAGTATAATGAAAGCCCTACTAACTTTCTGGATCATTTAAAAGAAGCAGTGAGAAACTATACTACCCTGGATCCCTCCTCTGAGGAGGGAGAACAGCAGCTAGTCTCCTTGCTCCTAAGACAGTCTTCGGTAGACATTAGAAAAAAGCTGCAGCAGGTTAAGGAATCCAATAATAGGGATTTAGAAAGATTGCTTGAAGAGGCTTGGAGAATTTTTAGGAATCGAGAAGATACGGAAGGTAGAAGGATGACTAAGGTAGCTATAGCCACGGTGGCAGTATTGGAAAAGAAAGGAGTGATTAGTAATGGTGGAAGAGGACGGGGCCGAGGACAAGGCAAACCATTCGGAAACCAAGGGAACAGACTGTTGGACAGGGATCAGTGTGCATTTTGTAGGGAAAAAGGACATTGGAAAAATGAGTGCCCAAAGCGTCAGGGAAACTTGATAGCTGAAGTTAATGTTGATTGACGGGTACCTGGGGCATCTACCCTAGCGGATCCACTGGTTAAAATAAAGCTAGGAAAAACAGAATGAGAAGTAGAATTTTTGGTAGACACAGTCGCTTCATATTTGGTTTTAAATCAGGAATTAACTCTGATCGGTGAGGACTTTGTCAAGGTAATAGGAGCAACTGGCCAGCAAGAGAAGGCATACTTTCTAAGACCACTCAAATTTAAGCTGGGAAAACAGATTGGGGTACATCAGTTCCTGTATTTACCTAATTCACCCAAACCCCTATTGGGATGAGATTTGTTAGAACAACTAGAAGGCAAGATAGTTTTCAAACAAGGAAATACAGAGTTAAAAGTAAAAGAGGAACAACTGATTCAGCTTCTGAGCCTGGCATTAATCTCTCCTAAAGAGGTGGAAGGGACTTCAGGGGAGATACAAGAGATAGTCAACCAGGTATTTCTGGGGGTATGGGCTACAGGGACTCTGGGAAGAGCAAAAAATGCTACCCCTATAGTAACAGAACTTAAAGAGGGAGTTGGCCCTGTGCGACAGAAACAATACCCCTTGAAAATTGAAGACCAAAAAGGGATAGAGAAACCTGTAAACAGTTTGCTGCAAAACAAACTACTTGTTCAATGTGACTCTCAATACAATACTCCTATACTGCCTGTTAAGAAGCCTAACGGTACTTACCGGGTAATACAGGATCTGAGAGCAATTAACAAAATAACTAAGGATCTCCACCCTGTGGTGGCTAACCCGTACACTTTCTTGACAAAGGTAAAAACGGAACAAGTCTGGTTTACAGTTTTAGATTTAAAGGATGCATTTTTCTGCTTGCCCATAGCCAAGGAAAGTCAGAAATTGTTTGCCTTTGAGTCGTAAAGCCCCTCAATGGGACGCAAGACCCAACTAAGCTGGACAGTGTTGCCCCAAGGATTCAAGAACAGCCCAACCATTTTTGGCAATCTATTAGCCAAAGAACTCGAGTCTTGGAATCTCCCTCTAGGTAATGGAATGCTTTTGCAGTATGTAGATGACTTGTTAATAGCCACAGAAACACAGGAAGACTGTATTTGATGGACTGTAAGCTTATTAAACTTTTTAGTCTTAAATGGATGTCGAGTCTCTCAACAGGAAGCCCACATGATGTGACAGCAGGTGACTTACCTAGGATATGAACTTTCTGGAGGACAACGGGAACTGGGGACATCACAGAAAGAAGCAATCTGTAAAACCTCTCTTCCCCAAACGGTAAAAGAACTCAGAACATTCCTGGATGACCGGTTGGTGTCACCTGTGGATTGATAACTACGGACTACTGGCAAGGCCTTTATATGAACTTTTGAAGGAAAATCCTAGACAGCTAAAATGGACTAAGGGCACAAGAGATGCTTTTAAACCTCTTAAGGTGGCCCTCATGGAAGCTCCAGCTTTGGGGCTACTGGATCCTACCAAACCCTTTTGGCTATACTCCCATGAGAGACAGGGAATAGCTTTAGGGGTCCTTGCTCAAAGAATAGGACCCTACAAAAGAGCTGTGGCCTATTTCTCAAAACAACTTGATGAGACCAGTAAAGGCTGTCCAGGCTGCTTGAGGGCAGTAGCAGCAGTAATCCTGAATATTGAAGAGGCATGAAAATTTACCCTGGGACAAAAGATGACAGTATTGGAGACACATGCAGTTTCAGCGGTATTGGAACAGAAGGGGAGCCATTGGCTCTCTCCTTCTAGGTTTCTGTGAAGTACCAGGCCATTCTGGTAGAATCGGATGGTATATCACTTGAGGCTACTAACACTGTAAACCCAGCTTCTTTCCTGAATGATCTCACAGCTACAGTAGAACCACTGGAACACAACTGCATAGAGACCATGGAAGCTGTCTACTCCAGCAGACCAGACCTAAAAGATGTACCACTAGAGAATGCGGAGGTTTCATGGTACGCTGATGGTAACAGTTTCATCAAAGGAGGTACCCGAATGGCGAGATATGCAGTTACTACCACTGAAAAGGTGATCCTCTCCGAGAGAGGTGGGACGGAACTTACCAGGTGCTTCTGACCACCTTCACTGCAATCAAAATCAAGGAACAAACGCCCTGGACCCACTACTCTAGAGTGAAGAAAGTGCCAGCACAAGTCTGGACTTCTGAAACCAAGGGACCTTTGAAACTTAAACTGCGGAGGCAGAGTGATGGGTCAAGACATGTCTATTATAATAATAATAACCATGAGCCAAATTCTTTGGGTCATAGGATAGAAACAGAATTTATGCCTCTCCTTGGTTCAGAATATCACCCAAATTTTGAACAAAAATGATTACTGGATTTGTACCCAGATGCCTAGAAATATAAACCATGGGTTGCCCTTAATAGGAATCCCAATTCCAGCTAAAATATCTTGGTCCTCCTTGTGGATAAACACCACCCTGAACAACAGCAGGGGACAGGAACAAGAACTGAATATATCTGACCCGACCCCACAGGAGCCTTATAGTACTTGCATTTAGAGATGCAACCCCCTGAAAGGGACAGGCAAGATGGATTATCCGGACAACAATGTGTTTGTAGGAAATTTTACTAATAGTAATCAAACAGAAAATACTGGAATCCACATAGCTAAGGTTACTGAGTGGCAAGTATCTGCCTGAATAGGATGGTACTGGTTGTGTGGGAATAAAGCCCAAAAAGTATTGCCATTAGAATGGAGAGGAACTTGCACCCTTGGAGGTGTAGTTCTGAACATTACTATTCTAGATAGAACACATCCACAGATTGGATGGATAAAACCTTACTTCATGAGAATGAAAAGAGCTATTAATGCTATAGCTGACAGGCCTACTGCCTTTCATAGTTTTGTAAGATGGCTCATTCCTTCACTAGGAGTGAATGAGTTAGAGAAAACTACAGTAAATATTTCAGCAGTAATAGAGAATATTGAGAATAAGACTGCTGATGATTTGCAGACACTACAAATCGAGGTATCTAGTTTGTCAAAGGTAGCAAAGCAGAACAGGATTTACTATTGGCTTCCCAAGGTGGTGCCTGTACAATCATAAATACAAGCTGTAGTGTACATATAGATCAAAGCAGCAGGATCTCTATGGATCTAGAGGAAATCTGGCAACAAATTAAAATATTAAACGCAGTAGCAAAAGACGATACTTCTTTTGGGTTCCAAGAAATCTGGGAAAAGCTGACACCATGGTTGCCAAATTTTGGATGGTTAAAGCAGATCCTTGTAAATGTCATTATCTTAATAGCCCTAGGACTCATAGTATGTATCATGCTTAGGTGTTTCCTATGGTGTTGCCAGAGGACAACGGATCATTATTCTCAATGGATAAAGGTCAAAATATGGCACCAGGTAGAGACGGGGAAATATTTTAAAAGGCCTCTAGAGAATAATGGAATGCTTTAGGTTGGCTCCACAAGGGTCAAAGAAAAGGGGAGACTGAAGGGATGCTAAAGGGTTAACAAAAAGACCTTTGTGAAGCCAACTGTAGCTAGAATGTGATAAGAGCCCTGAGTAAGCAGAACATCCTTGAGAAAGACCCAGCTTAAAGTGCTAGCATTATGGTTCAGGTTAACTTACTAACCATATGAGGTAAGCATAGATAACAAACTAACAGTGTATGGAATGTGCATCATTAGAGAAAGAGGAGAGATTTGAAGGCATGTAGGGGAACAAAATGTCTAACACTTTGTCGGTAGGAGGATAGCCAGGGACAGGAACCATGAGATACAGAGGTAAAGGGGGATGTTTCAAGGATAAGGAGCCAGCTGGTACCGGCTGTGTTGCTCTGACAGCAGAATAAGAGGGGTAGAAGCTGGAGGTCACCAAAAGCACAAGGTGAAGAAGAGGAGTGGATGAAGTAAACGACCACAAGAGACCCCTGAAGACCACCGACTCAAAACACTGAGCATGTGCAACTGGGAGGAGACTATGTAAATGATTTCCAGGAATTAAATTTACCTTTCCCTGCCTTTTCCGAGGAATGTAATGCATATGTATGTAATGTAACAATATAATCGTGAATTGTTTTACGGTCAGCGCGCACATTAGGAGGAGTGATCCCCTGTGTGTCCACCATGGCAATAAGGAATACCTGCTTAATAGTCTGACAAATTGACTATTGAGTTACTTTGCGGCTTTGCACAGCTTCACAGGTTTGTATCAGTTTTCTCAGCTGTATGAAGACGTGCTGATGCCTTCTAGCACATCTTTTAACAAATCTGCAGAAAAAAAGCAAGGTCAGCACACTGCTTTTCAAGCAGTGACACACAAGAAGGAAGGTCAAGTAATTAAGCCACAGACTAGAAGTTATACTTAAATAAGTCATTGAAAGTGATCTTAACACACAAACAAGTCACAGAAAGGCACTCGACTGGATTTTGATTTTCACAATGTTTGATAACTGAAAAGTTTTGTTTCATTTCTGAAAAATAAGTTAATACAAAATTTAAAAAAAACACTGATGTGCAAGTCTTTGCTGCACAGGAGGTACATTTTCATACTTTAAAATAGTTTAAAATATTTCTACATAAGGAACAGAAATTCTTGTATAAACAAAGAGTGTTTCTTTGCCAACAGCAGCTGTCAACTCCAGAACACAGAATTAAGATGACAAGAGAACCAGACAGTCTAAGTCACTGCCATTTGTGTAAAAAAAAATAAAAAAATTATGCCACCGTTTTCTACAGCTCATCATGCTTGTATGTAAATTCCCTTGCAGATATAAACCCATCACCATCTTCATCTTCTTTATCAAATATGTCTTCAACCAAAGCATCATGCTGGGTGTCATTTACCACTGCTCCATGCTTTTCAAATTCTTTCTTCAAGTAAATTTTCACCTATTAGACAAAAGGTAAGAGTTAATATTTTTAGGCTTATGAGAGAATTTATTACTGTAGCATTAAGAGGGCCACTATGTTCAGGATGGTAGTATTAGACAATAGGTACCTTCCTTCCTATGCCACTTCTAGAACAATACTTGTCTGATTCTGCAGCCCCGTTCAGTGATGAAAGACTCTTCAGTCATATAAATGACAGTAAAACTAGGAAATCAGTTGCCATACCTTTATGGCATCTGACTGAAAAATAAGCCAGGAAAACCCGTCATCTGATGTCTATACAGTAAAATATAAATAGCTAGGCAGAACTTAATAGCTACCAATTGGTCAGACACCCAAACAGCTTTTTGACATCTTAGCACTTCAACAAAGTAGTAGGTGTCAACAGCTGCCCCAAATGTATACAGAAATCTGTCCACAATCTCAGCATTTGCTGTTCTAATGGGAACTACATTAAATTAAGATTTATTTCTAAACATCTCAAAATTCTGAAGGACAAAGATTCAAGGTAGCTTTTAAACAGACTACTGGCACAATTATTTACACTAAGCTAGTTACTAATGGTGAGCAGCATTTTGAACATCACGATTATTTTTACCGAGCGTAAGGTTTAACTACTGAGATCCCAAGTGTTCTAAACTGCAGAGCCTTCTACAAGAATATCAATACCAAACACACCCACCTGTTAAACAGATACCACTTACATAACAAGAACTGTAACAATGGACTGTTAACAGCAGGATAAATGGGTCATGTTTCAGGTCTGTTTTACTTATTTCACATTCTGGTATTTGTTAGGCTCATTGCTTACATTTGTAATACACAGACACTGGACACACTGACAGTGTCTGTCTGATGCACAGTATGGAAGATTAGTCTTTCGGGTCTAGCAAACTGCACCAGACCCAGATCTAAAAGAGTGCAGTGGTTTATTATAACGTCTCATGGATGACTTTTGCACAGCAGAAAAGCAGACAAATGAAAATAAGAGACAAACAGGTGAACAATGGTGAACACACATCCTTCAGACAGTGAATGCTATGAAACTGGACTGCCCTAGAGCAGAATAATTTCTAATTCCAGTTTATTAGTAAATCAGCAGCTAACTCCCAAAAGCCCTGAAGTCCGGTTTTGTTTCTAATATGTTTTACTTTTATCCAAATCTCCCGTAAGTGTGGTGCACACATTGATCACATGTCTATGCCTCAGCTTACCGAGGCCACATTTGAACCCCCAGTCCAGCAGTCCTACTGGGATTCAAGGCTCAGCATTGTGCAGCATAGATGTGCATCCCTGGCTTAGTTTTACTGAAAGAATCTATTGTTAAGGTGTAAGAAAGTACATGAGCTGAAGCCATGCAAGAAAGGCAAAGCATAGACAGGAGCTTAATTGTTGAGCCAGAAACAGTTGGTTTTGGAATCGTTGAGCCAGTAGTTCAAGAGCATTCAGCAGGGAAGATACCAACACAAAAAGGCATAAAGCTCCAAAAGCAAAAAAAAGTAGAGAATTGGAAGGCAGCAACATGGAAAGTCATCTCCAGGGAAGAACAGAGACTTACCCTTCCCCACATGACTAATGACCACCTGGCCAGCAATAACTTTTTGGATGTCTTGCCATTCATGATGAACATATCAGTTCAGTAGTTATTCTAAGAACTCGTTAGTCCTAGTTACCCGTACTGTGCATGGCCCAATAAATAATTGCTTTAAGCACTCTTAAATAGTGTATTCTGCTTGCAGAGTTGCTCTGTGCACAGTAGTAGCTAAAAATCTAACTTGTGTTTAGATACTTCCCTAACAGGGTCAAGTTAAGTGAGAATGGAAAGATAAGCCTGTTGTCCTAGTTTTGGCTGGGATAGAGTTAATTTTCTTCCTAGCAGCTGATATAGTGCTGTGTTTTGGATTTAGAACTGGAAGAATGCTGATTAACACACTGATGTTTTTAGCTGTTCCTAAGTAGTGTTTAGACTACTCAGGGACTTTTTGAGCTTCTCCTGCTCGGCCAGGTGCATAATAAGCTGGGAGGGAGGACAGACAGGACAGCTAACCCAAACTGACCGAAGAGCTATTCCATACCATATAATGTCATGGGCATGCTCAGGGGGAGTTAGTCGGTCGGGGGGAGAGTGATCACTGCTTGGGACCAGCTTGGCGCTGGTCAGTGGGTGGTGAGCAATTGCATTGTTCATCACTTGTTTTGTATATTCTGTATATTCTCTTACCATTATTATTGTTATTCTCTTATTAAAACTGTCTTATTCTTTTCTCTTATTAAAACTGTCTATCTCAACCCATGGGTCTTACTTTTTTTTTTCTGATTCTCTCCCCCATCCCACTGAGGGGGGGCAAGGGGGTAGTGAGCGAGCGGCTGCGTGATGCTTAGTTGCCAGACAGGTTAAGGCACGACACCTGTTAGGTTTGCTCACAAGAAAGGTAACCCACTCACCTCTTGCTTGGACAGTTTCCAGTCATCGTTAAGATCCATCTCTTGGAACGACTCATGAGACCTTGGACCATTCCTAATTTCTAGAAGGTCAATGTTGAAAATCAGTGTGCTCTCGGGTGGAATTTTTCCTGCCCCAAACAATAAACATGGAGAAAAGTTAAAAACAACTACATATTCAGTGCCATACAAAAGCCATATGTGTCAGAGCAATGGTCCAGTAATCCTACTAATTTCAAAGCATCCTGTGATTTGAACTAACAAGGAAAAGTATCTGCAACAGTGATAACTGTAACTATTTCAGCGCATAGCCTGGACTCTGAGCAGCCCATACAGCACATAAAACTAGTTGCATCTAAAGTTGTGTGTTAGAGACTAGTACATGTTGATATGAGCTCATACTCAGCAGTCATCATCACAGGTTTATGAGACAACATTCTTGAATCTCTTCCATGGCCAGAGCACAAGTGGAAAACAGTGAAGGAGACTGTACAGCCAGACACGTGGCCACTACTGTGACATAGAGCCAAGACTGATGGATGGGGTAGCAAGAAGAGTACAATCCTCCTGATACACCATAACCCCAGCTGATGGATGGGGTAGCAAGAAGAGTACAATCCTGATACACCATAACCCCACCAGTCTCCAAATTCCTCTCCACTGCCAACTGACACTTTGTACCTGCTATTCTCCCACTGGAAAAACTCTTCTTGCAGAGAAAGGCAAGAGGGCAGCAATGCTGTCAGTATCCCATAGCCGTCTCCGGACTGCTGCGCGAAGCGCTGAGCTATTTCCAAACACACAGTAGAAACTAAGTAGATAAACATGCCCAAAAGACATGTATTGGCATCATTCAATTTTTGATGCAGATGAACAGACTGATAATTTCCTAATAGTGCCAAAGACCATCCCCTTCTCCCCTCCTCCCCAGGATTTCAGTTTATCAGGCATTGAATTTTACAGTGGTGTTATATGCCTTCATGCTAACTGCTGAAGCTACTGTCAAAGACCTTTTAGCATACCACTTTGCTCCTTATATAGAAATATATTTGGTCCTATTCAACCTCTCTATATTGATGGCAGCACCCCCAAAAAATATTCGCTGTGCCTTAAGACAGGGAAAAAACTAATCCACACCTACTATTTTGGAGCTGGGGTGTTAAATAAATACACCCTGAGCTGCAGCAACAGATGGGCTTGTAGATTTCTGGGATGAATAAGTGTGCAGAAAGTTCTGGAAACAGAGGGCACAGTGGCCTGCTTAGAGTATGGAACACAGGTAATTTTTCTGAGTGTTAAAGAAAGAGGCATCTGACTCATCATTCAAGTCAGACAGCAAGCAAGGCACCAGGTGGGAGGCTACTGAAATTATGTGCATTCAGTAGAAGGCATGAAGAATATGGAATAATTCTGTCTTTAAGGGCATAATTTGAAAATAGCAACATAATTATGTTCAAATACTTCAAAGTTTTCCTAAAGCAAGTAATTTCTTACAACAGCTAGCAATGTTTACTTGTTCAGCCTTGCACTAAACACAGAGGTGAGGCTTGCAAGTCTTTGAAGAACTGTACTACTTTAGATATTAATCAAGGCTTGTGATGACTGCAACATTTAATATCTTTTTGTGGAAAAGTTTACAGTTGTGTGCTGCATACAGTCAACTAACTGACCACCACAAGTTTCCTGTTCTCTACTAGAAACATGGTTATTTTAATACTCTCTCTTGAACCCCAAACCACAGCTTGTAGAAAAAGATGTTTTAAAAGGATACTTTAAAGAAAGAAGGGTATGGAGTATGCTTTTATCTACGAAGTACTACTTAGGATGGAGTAGTACTTAGCCTATGTTCAGCCCTACTTGCCAGATGATACAGACATGCAAACACTCCTCATTCCTAAAACAGTCTCAGAGTAATGGGAGAGGACAGTAGCAGGAAGGATTATATGTTCCAAGACATTTACCCTTTCTACTCTGAAACCTTGCATTACCATTTGTGATACCTGTTGTTGTGACAAAATATTCTAATAATTAATCAAAAAAACTTAACTAAAACAAACACCATAAAGCAGAAAAAAGTAACCATCTTTCAAACTGTCACTCATTTAACCGCAAATTGCAGATCTGGCCCTCTCATTAAAACAGGAATCTGGAAACCTTTGAAAGGAAACACCAAACACCATCAGTAGTAGACAGCTTGAGAAAATACTCCAAACAATGCTTTTATCTGTCTGTACATCATTCAATACATTTTCAGTAGATGCCAGCATGACTGTCCATGTGCCTGCACATCTTACTGTGGATAACAGGGACCACTGCCCAAACTGAAAATAGCCAAAAGAGAGAAAGAATTAAACGTCCATATTTGGAGAAATAAATGGCGACTTTTCACTGCATCAGCTAAGAACTGGGTGGGCAGCAGTACAGGGAGTTTCTTCAGGTTCTTGTTTGCAGGTTGCTTTTAGAAGGAGGCTTGCACATGCACATTCATGAAGTATTAACCACAAACACAGATGCAACGGCCAAAAAGCCAACTGTTACCTAAGCAACCACTTCCAGCTTGACTGTAAAAAGAAGGAAAAAAAAAAAAAGCAGAGCACTGTTGAGCACAGCACTGACAGAAAAGACACTCAGAGCATACAGCACAGTAGCCATCATCAATTCCTATTTTTTTCTCCTGTATTCACCATGTAACCACTTAAGAGTTATTTCTGCAGAAAACAAATTTGTGAGGAAGACCACCTTACTCCATCAATTTTTCTTACTTAATGGAATCAGCCTGGAAAGCTTGAAAGCCTGCTAACATCTTAGGCTAAGAAAAACAGTAAAATACAGAGATTAAAAACAATTGAAGTAAGGGAAGGACTTCAGGTGTTTTACCTTTCCCTTCTTTTCCATAAGCAAGTGCTGGTGGAATAGTTAGCTTCCGCTTCTCTCCCACACACATGTCCTTCAAACCTTTGTCCCAGCCTTTGATAGCTTCCCTTATGCCAAGTGTAAACCACATAGGTTGACCATTGTTATGCTTGTGACTGGAAAAGAATGGAATAAAACACTTTGCCTTTAGACAGCAAGTTCCATAAAAGGCACATAGAGCAGATGGAAGATGCTCACAGCATAGATACATAATTAAAAACACACCGATATTTGGCACCTTGGCATTTCTTAAGTGAAGGACATAGACTTTTAAAGTCTTTAAAACTTATGCCTTGCATGATAAGGTTCCTTAAGAAGCAGAAAGAAATAAAACAACATCCACATGGTGTGTTTATGACAACACTGAACAACCTGGATCCCCACCTTCACTTCCCTGATCACCTATTTCCACTTTGAAACTGATCAGACTAGAAATGCATTTCTGCTTAAAAATCTACATTTAAGCCCATGCATATTCTTTGGTAAATTGCAAATCAAGAACCAGCTTGGCCATGATTACAATATACCTTGTAACATGCTTAGAAGAATCGGCCACCTGTCTTCCAAAAAAGCCATTAGAAAAAAAAAAAAAACCAAACCAAAACCAACTACAGGACAGTCTAGAAAAACAGAAACAAATGCATGCAAAACATTCAAGTTTAAAATAGGCAGACAAGCCCCTTTTCCAATCTAACCAGGTGGTACACCAGGACTACTTTCACTCTACTGAGTTTTCAAAGCTCGACTTACTAGTCATGCAGGAAAGGTGCTTAACAAGAAACAGAGCACTTACAGAAGTTAGTCAGCAGCAAAAACTTAAGAGTGTCACTAGAACTCCTTTTAGAGAGGCAGGTTAACTACAAGAGAAAATTAGTGAGATTTTAGTTTAAATAATCTGCAAGAGTATAAACATGCAAAACATTGTCTTTTTTTTATTTTTTAATATGTTCCTTAAAAGTAGACTTCAGACATAGCCTACAGATACTTGAGCATTTTGCTGTCTCCCCCCATCAACACTTCGTTGATGTTTTACAGGAAAGGCAACATTAGCAAGTCGTTGCAGGCCCTTAGCAAACTCATTCGAATTTCTGGCTCTCCCTCCTACTTGCATTACTGTGGCTCTGGTATGTTGATTTGCCTGGTCCGGGGCAGGGGAAGAATATGCTATTTCAGTAATGAAAAGCTGTCATTGTGCTGCCAGTAGTGGAAGGATATATATCACTTTTTATAACTAGAGGCAGTCTTCTCCCCTAGAAGTTTGCTTCGGAAACCAGACAGAAATTCGTGCGTAGCAGGAGATATATTAAACTTCGGAAATCATGCACCAAATCCTGTGTCTAAATTGCAGAAGAGGATGTCCAACATCTCCGTCTTTTAACAGATGCCACATAGCTCTATTTTCTACAGTCTAACCAGGAGGAAAAAAAAAAGCTAAACAAGATTTATTTTATAGCCTCCATGTGGCAGGGGGAAAGGAGAGAAGTTTGACTGTTGGTGTTCATCTTAAACAGCATAGTGAGTCAGTGCTTCCTGAACTGCCGAAGTATAAAGGCAAACCAAACTTTCTGAAAATAAGTGGCAGTGGAAAGGGTCCCACACACGAATTTGTGCAGCGTTATTTAGGCTATTTTAGTTCAATAACAAATAAAAGTCTACGGCATGCTATGAACATGCATGCATTGCTTCTGTTTCCTTGCACACAGGTAAAGGCCAGTTTTGGGAGGGAGGGGCAATTGTAAAAAATAAAATAAAAAGCCACCCGCCCTCCACAAAACACTCCTCGCAGAGCTACTTCGCAGGTGGACTGCGGGCCACTGTGAGGGGTCCGGATTCAGGAAAGCACTGTCAGAAGACATCACCTACATGAAAATACATATATACAGAGAGAGATGTAATTTGCCGGTGCAAGCTCACCCACCAGCCCGCTCGCCCGGGGCCAGCTACTTACGTGGAGTGGAACATGGAGCCGTCCTTCTCCAAGAAGCCCTCGTAGTGAACCAGCATCATGTCCCCCCACTTGGTCCTCCTATGGCAGAGGAACGGCTTCTGCAGCACCTCCACCTTCACGTCAGCCGCGGGGATCAGCGCCGCGGCCGCGCAGCCCAGCGCCGCGCCCAGCAGGGCGGCC